TAAAGCTGTCTGACTTGACTATTTGTTTCAGAGAATACTGTAGTTTTGACAGGGGGAGCCCTTTGCAAAATTGCAAATGATGCATTTTTTTTTAATCTTCCACACCTGGTCCTACCTCCTCCCATTTTAGCATGCCTTCTTCTTCCCTCCTCCCCTTCCTCTCAACCCCCAGTTCCAGTTGGATTCCTAAAAGTTCTCTCCCGCTAGAGCCAAATAATTCTTGCTAGGATAAGAGGTGATAAAGGACTACAGTGTTAAGCCCCAGAGATATTTACATTTGAATAAAGGAAGAACCCTTTTAAGCCTCTAAGCATTTTAGGAGAAAAAAAAATAAATGAGTAGAATTAAGTATGTGATAGGTTTTGTGGTTGAGAGCCCATGTAACACTCCTCAAATCACATAATGAAAGTGATGGCTTATTCTATCTGCTAATTCTCACATAATTTCACATAGGTAAGAAGTTGTGAACAATCTGTGTTCTTCCCTGGGAAAAATAAACGTTTGCTAGCTGCCATCTTTCAGGAAGGGCTTTTTGGCTTGTTTTAATGGTCAAGGCTTAAGGAGGAAATAACCCCAAGTGGACATTAGCATTAGTTCCTCTCCCCTATTTCAATGATCATGTTGTTTCTAGAACCATTAGTTTTCCTCCCTTGGGACAAGGCCAAGGAGTTCATTTAAGCTGGTGAGTTGACAATTTCCCCCTAGGAGGAGTCTATTGTTTCTCTCTTCATCCTTTCTGGTGGTTTTGTCTATTTCTGGGATTGGTTCAAGCCAAAGTATTTTTTTTTAAATGCTCTACTTTGGACCTCTCTGGATTCAGATATTTGCAAATCCTACTTAGAATGAACACCTGGAGGAAATGAAATATCTGAGATTGATTACCATTTATACTGTAGGGAGGGAAAACAAAACAAAATAAAACAAAACTAGTGGTTGCCAACAAAGATCCCAGAGAGCTGTTTCTTCCTGTCCTGTTTCTAAACTGTCTATAATAGACCCTATATCAGGCATGTGCTGATAGGAGGGGACTTACTTTACCACAGTTTGATGGACCTAAGGCATAGGTACTGATTCAAGGCAAGCAAGAATTGTTGGAAGAAAGCATGAGACATGAAATGATAAGGCTGTTTCTTTGTGTATGGCAACAAAAGGAAAAAATAACAGTTCTTAGAGAAGTACAAAGGGTTCCTGAGAATAGTGGGCAAGCTGTGGAAGCCACCAGTGCTATTTAGAAGCTACACATACAAGCACAGGTACAGATCAGGCATGAGGATACCAGAGCAAGTAAAGGGTAACAAATATAGGAGAGATGTCTGGATACTGCCTTCAGTGAAATTCCCAGCTCCACTCGGGCTATGGAGGCTTCCCTTATTGGTGTGGTGAGTTCATTTAAATAAGGAAGAAAGTTGACTCAGAAGGAAGGGAGGGGTTCTACTTGCATCCATTCCTTTGCTAATTGAGCTTAGATGTTCTGGGCTGGGTATATGTCTTAAAATTGTACAGTATCTTGTTCTGGTTCCCCTGACCATCCCCCCTCTCCATTCTAGGTAGTATAGTAAGTTTATAGGTAGCCAGTAGGAAGTAAGATTACAAAGGGAAACCTAGAAATCACTTACAGACTGTCCCACAAGGGAACTTAAAAGGTTAACTTACACACTGTCTCATAAATTAGGGAAGCATAAGTGCCACTGGAAAATATCTCATAAATTAACTAAGGCCACATCCTGAGACTCTGTGCTGAATCAGGGGACACCAGTTAGGCCTTACTGTAAAGGCCCCTCAGTTCTGCTAAGACTATAATTAGTCTATAAGCCTAAAATAAGCTCTGGACATGAGCAGTAAGACTAGCAGAACTCCAACAAATGTTATGGTAAAAATGAGATGCCAAACTCCTGCCCCACCTCCAAATCCTGCCCCCCTCCCCCACCATCACTTCTTCATCTGCTATGGGTCCATGTTGCTCAAGTACTCCCAAATCCAATCCTTGACTTTCACCCTCTTCATTCTCTTCATCATGCTACCTTCCTCCTTCTATTATCCCATCCTCCTTCCCCATACCATACTGAGAGAAATGATCATTAATAACCAATGATTTGGGGAGATCCAGAGTTCCCCCCTTTTACTAAAGTCCTGATTTTAAAAATTCAGTCTTAAAGGACATTACTGATAATGAGATTGGACTAACTTTCTTATTTAGACCCCTCCCAGGTAGGGAAGCCATTGTGTTCTACTCAGGTTTTTTTTTGGGGGGGGGGAAGGGAATAAATTCTTTGAATAGATTGCCCAAGGCTGGGAGTAACTTAGAAATAAATGGCATAATTATAGTTCATTGATTAGGTTCAGCCCTCATTGTAACATTCATTCTCTCATTAACTGTTAACCAATTAGAGTTGATTGACAACCTCGGGAACACCCCTCTTCCAATAGGCATATAAACCGTGAGCCCCTTGCCATGAAGATCTTTGGTCTAAGAAGCAGACAACCAAATGGCTATTCTTTTATTAAAATGCTGGTATTATTAATAAAATGATTAAATTACCCAGAAATTATGTCTCTCAAACTTTTAAAATACCATAGTACCCCACCCTTTGTCTCTGTACATTCTGTGTCTTATTAAAGTGTGATTGGTGCTACTGTGGTCTTTTCCTGGTGAGTATCCAAACAATGAGTTGTACCTGCCCTTGAACTGACCCAGAGGTACCCTTGCTTTGTAGTTCCATTCACTTTACCACAATAATTTCATAAATTAATTACCAATTCCATCTGGCTTAGGTCAGTTCCCCGGTAATTTAGGTTCAATAAAGGAATGAAAGGAGACACTAGCAAATCATTGAATAGTTAACAAAAAGAGATGTACTTACTCCACAGCAGGAAGATATTCAACAAGGATAGAAATGGAGGATACCTTGAGTTGGTTTAGCTGAGTGATGCTCCCTTGCTAAAGTCATTTATCATGATCCCCCAGACAAGCATCAGGGAGCTTTCTGTAGCTCCTCTTTTATTGTATTCAGCCTTGTATTCAGGTGATTAGAAAGTGATGTCAGTAGTCTGAGCCTACTAAGTCTCAAGGAATTTTTAAGGAAAAACTAGCCTAATTTGCACAGCAGTGGGGAACAATGGGGGAGTTGGGAGAACTGGGGAGGATGGTTAAAATATTCTCCTACTATGGTTCTCTGAACTGTTACAAAGCCCCCAAACCACACCAAAAAGACAAAAATACCCTGAAAACCCAGCAAATGCTATCCATTGGCATCTTTTACCACTAGTTCCATGTCTTGTCTTTGGAGCCATCCATTACTGAAATGAGATCATGCTATAACTATGCCATTACTGTGTTCTCTGAGGGCTACAAAATCTTAATGTAAGCTCTTGTGCAGTCTATTTTGCCACTGGTCAAAGTAAAGCACTTCTTCTAAGGCCTCCAAAGTGCATTTGACTGCCAAATATTAAATTCTCTAACAGGAAGCTGAAAGCAATGGACAACCAGACTCTTCACATAGTTAACAGATTTAATTGAGTAGCACACAGACATTATGTTAATAAAAAAGTGAAAACTGAAAAAAATGCCTATATGGGAACAGTCTGAGAAATTTATTTTGATTAAAAACATAGAACTCAATCCAATTTTATTCTCTGTCCAGGGAGAAGACATCAGTGATATTTCCTTTCTTGGTTTCCAGGACCAATGAAGGAAGGCATCTCATACAAGCCTCAAGAGGGCCCTAGCCACTTGTTAATGAGCTCAATGATTAGGAAATTAGGCACATTTCATTGCTTGCCTTGTTTCCTTCCAGGTAATACAATTCTACTTTCTAGTTAATCTCAATACTTACGGAGAAGACACAATTACTATCAAGAAGACCCTTGAATTTTATGTCTGAATAAAATTATCTTTTTAAACATTTTACATCATAAATTAATTTACACATTTTTTATGAGATGGAAGATAGAAGGAGGGTTAGGGAAATTAATCTTTCTCCAATAAGAGAACTATACACTAATTAAACTAATAAAGAAATTACATTCATTCAGCGGACATTTATTGAACACCAACTATATACATTAGACCAGGTTAGGAACTGTCAAGGATACAAAAAAATAAGAAGGCATGGCTGCTGCTGTCAAGGAACTTACAATCTAGGAAGGGTAGGAAGAAAGGAAGCAAGCATTTATTTAGTGCTTACGACATGCCAGGCACTGTGCTAAGTACTTTACAAATACTATCTTATTTGATTTTCACAATAATCCTATGAGGTAGGTGCTATTATTATCCCCATTTTACAGTTGAGGAAACTGAGGCAAACAGAGGTTAAATGACTTGTCCAGGGTTATGCAGTCAGTATCTGAGATCAAATTTGAACTTAGGTCTTCCTGACCCTCAGCCTAGCACTCTATCCACACGCACCACCTATGCTGAGACATGAGTATGAATAACTATAATACAAATGTGTATTGAGAGAGGTACAAAGGGTTCAGAGGTGATATAGATGCTTTTTAGTGGAGAGCAGCATGGAGGAGGTTGGTAACTGAGCTGGCCTTTGAAAGATGGAGAGGAATTGGAAAGGCAGAGTTGGAGAAGAGAGACTGAACATTCCAGGGGCAGAGAACAGTATAAACAGAAACATTTTTCCTGGGTAAATTCCCACTTGCACAGACACGTAGAGAACACTCATTCCTATCGGAAATAGGGATGTTTTAGGTTTCATGGCAAAAAAACAAACAAACAAAAAAAACCCTTTGACTCTTGGAAAATTAAAATCCTCTGGACTAATAAAATAAAAATGTAAGATGCCAATCTTTAATGATAGGAAACAATATGGTGCAGTAGAAAGGGTATTAGATTTAGAGGCAGGGGAACTGGATTTGAACCTGAACCTGGTCACCTCCTACAGATGTGACCTCAAGCAAACCCCTTACCCTCTTGGGGCCTCAGTTTCCTCATCTGTAGAATGAGCTGGTTGGATAAGATGACCTCCAAGGCTCCTTCCAAGCTCCAAAACCTACAATCCTATAAATTTTTTTTCTTTAATAAATGAACAAAAACATCTACTTCTTTCTGTCTTGCTTTATTGGCTTTTATAGCTTTTTAAAAGTGTAGGTCGAAATAGAAATGTAAACAGCAGGATTCAGATATTGCATTCCTGGCTGCAGCTCTTCAGCAAACCAATAAGCACCATGGGTAGAAGAGGATAAAGAAGCCAATGGAGACAGAGTTTACATTTCTTGGAGTTCCACTATCTTGCGATGCAACTTGTTTATGTCTTTCTGGAATTTATATTTCTCTAACTGGAACTTTGTCGTCTGTATTTGTTGGAGGGATTCGAGAGACCCACGAATCGACTGAAATCCTGGTGGGAGAACAGGTATATTTAATTTAAACCATATCTTGGAACAGTTTTCCTTTTTTTTTTTTAAACAAAGTCTTCTAATCAGCCATCCTACTATCATTGATCACTGTTTCATTCACAGCCCGTTAAATTCCATCAAGGCCTGTCTAAAAAGGTCTGGCAATCAGTCTTCTTGTGTTTCAAGGAGATGTTTTAGGTCAGCAGGGCTCCAAGTTGCATCTGACTAGAATGTGGAAATTTATTTCAATTCTGTTCACCCAAATATTACCAAATGAAACAGCTGAATATTTTAATAAGTCTATTGTAAACACTGCTTTTCCATCTGCCAATATTTGCTGGCCCACAAGAATAGGCAATCAGTACTAATGAGATTCAGATAAGGGGTCAATGCAGTAGAAAGTGCTGGATTTGGAGTCAGAGGAGGCTTGGGTTAAAATTCTGGCTCTGCCTCTTATTACCTGGGACAACAGGACACTCTTTGGGCCTCACTTTCCTTAGCAGTAAAATGAGGGGGCTAGACTACGTGGCTTTTGGTAATCCATCCAGTTCTAAATCTAGAGTCTTGTGACTTTTCTCTTGATTCTAGTACAAATTTGAAGGCTTTGAGAGGAACCAGATTAGATTAAAAAACTTCTCTTTAAGTAAGCATTAGGAGAGAACCTGATCATAGACATAGCCTATGGACTAAGACAACAGTACGTAGTAGATAGGGTTGGAATTCCCTTTTTTAAAGAATGCCACCTACAAAGGGAAACACAAAACCAGACAGATTGTAGGTTTTACACATGGCTGCACTCTGGTAGGTAGAAAAATATACTGCATTCAAGTGAGAGCCTAGGGGTTAAAGCAGATGAAAGAGGTGGCATAAAAGATATGTAATTTAAAGCCAGGGCACGATTCCTAACATAAAATTAATTACTTTGCTTGGATTTGGGGGCAGATGTTCAGGCAACAGTCTTTGGGCCAGAAACACCTAAAGGAAACAATTTTGACAGCAAGACTTTTCCTCCCTTAGAAAAAGTGATGCCAGTGTCAGGCAGCATTAAGTGATCTTTACCTATGTGTGTTTGTTACAAGGATTTTCTTTTTCTTTTTTTTTTTCCTCCCAGCAATGGTGGAAGCAGGAGGAAGAGAAAATAAAAACTCATCAACAAAATTTAATTGAAAAAAGATAGCAGATGATAGAATTCATACAAGAATGGGTAACTGGGAGGACAGGAAATGGGTTGTGTGTAGTTATTATTCTTTATCTCTTAAAGGATTTAGACCAATTGATAGAGATACTCTTCCTATCACAAGTAGAGACAGATGGCTGCTGCTCAGCACCGGTCTGATGCCCTTCCTTTGCTAAAGTTAGAGGACCCTTTCAAATTAATCCTCTTTGATGTTTTCCCAGCTTGACTCTAATACCATTAACCTTTTAGGCAGGAAAATCTGTCATCCCACTGGACTACTAGTTCACTTCTTTCCTTCCTCTCTCTCTCCCTTATGTCTCTGCTTCTCCGCCCCCCCCCCCCCGCCCCCAAAAAAGGGTTTGGCTGGTAGTCTCATGCCATGAGTAGACTCATTACCTTCAGTTTAATAGGAAAGGGCATTAGATTAAATGTCCCATTTTCCTGATACATCCTGATAGATGTTCTTTAAGGTCCTTTCAGCTTTAAAATCCTATGACCCTGGAGAATTGAGCAACTTTCAAGGGTACAGCCTTAATAATGTGACCAAGTGTGAATGTAGGAAGTTTATTCAGAAACCTCATACCCAGTGGTATGACACGATTGCTGGTTCATTGATTTTGAGCTAGAGGCCTTATCCTTTTTGAAAGTGTTAAGGAAAGAAGAAATCATTTTTCAGAAAGCAGCAGAAAATAGGGAGTATTTCTGTGATTAAGGTAGGCAGACTCAGGGGTCCCGAGAAGATCTAGGCTAGGGGTGAAGAACCTGCAACCTCCAGGACACATGTGGCCCTCTAGGCCCTTAAGTGTGGCCCTTTGACTGAATCCAAACTTCACAGAACAAATCCCATTCATAAAAGGATTTGTTCTGTGTAAAACTTGGACTCAGTTAAAAAGCCACACTCACCCAAGGACCTAGAAGGCCGCATGTGGCCTTGAGGCCCACCTCTGGCTTGGCCCTAGGGCCACCCTAAAGCCTTTTAAAAAATTGGTGTTTTGCGTTTCCTTGTTTAAATTTGGATTTTAAAGTTTAGTTGATAATTTTTAGGGTTTTTTTTGTTTGATTTATAAAAATAATGCCCTTTACAACTGAGTAGTCAGTAATTCATTACCTTACACAAATGGAGAAAATGCCTTGAGTGTCCATGCTGCCATGTCTAGGTAGATGGAGAGAGTTTCCATTAATGCCTAAGTAATACTCACCTGATTGGTACTCATTTTGGATTTTGTTAAGCTCTTCCCATATCTGCCTTTCCATTCGACTCATTCTTTTGTACAACTTGTTTTCTGCACACTTCATTTTGTTCAGCTCTGTTTCAAATCTCCTCGGGTTTTGTGACTCTTCTGATTTCACTATTAGTTCGTGCACTTTTCCTTCTAATTTGTTTTCTGTTTCTTCCTATAAAAAGACACAGCAAAACCAACCAAACAAACCAAAAAACAAGACATTCTGCAAGAAACTGTATTCGAGCACAGATGCTGAGCAAAATTTGTTTGCTGTAGTCACTTTTTGCCCATGAGCATTAATTCCAACCAAATCCTTTTGCCTTGGAAATTATTATTATTGTTGTCATTAACAATAATAATCCCTAGTATTTATATAGCACGTTAGTATTTGCAAAGTGCTTTACAAATATCTCATTTGATTCTCCTAACAACACTGGGAGCATGAGGATAACTCATTTCTTGTGTGTATGTGTGTGTGTGTGTATGTGTGTGTGAGCGCAAGTGTGTAAGTTTACTAACTGCACTGAAAGAGAAGAGTGAAGGTACAATTGTTCTTACCAAGTATACCTGGGTTTGGGAGGCTGAATGAACCAATCTTTTTCTTAAAGTGGTTGATAAGGCAATGGAGACTCCCTCAAAGCTCTTTTGCTATTGCCTTCTGTGTCTGTAGGTGTAGCTAAACCATAGGCAGGTAATTTAGAGTCTCAGCTATTTTCTGCACCTAGCTGCAACGGATGTCTGGAGCCGGTTCAGATAGCTCAAAGTTCATCCTGATGGGAAGAGAAAGTACTCACTCTCCTCTTCCTCTCTAATTTGTTGGAAGGAAACAGAAGCAGCTTTGTGTTTGGGAATAATAATAATAATAATAATGATAATAGAAAGAATTAACAGAAATAATAATAGCTAGCGTTTATATAGCACTTACTATGTATTAAGCATTTACATTTATTATCTCATTTAATCCTCATAACAACCCCGGGAGGTAGGTGCTATTACTATCACCATTTTACAGAGGAGTAAATGGAGGCAAACAGAGGTTAAGTGACTTACAAAGCTGAGGTTGAATTTGAACTCAGATCTTCCTGACTCCAGATCTGGTGCACTATTTACTGCACTACATAGCTGCCCCATAAAGAACAATTGCAAGACTTCAGTTCAAATTTTGGTTCTGCCAGTTGCCACCTGTGTGACCCTGAGTAAGTCATTTCACCTTTTGGCCGCAGTTTCTCATTTGTAAAATGAGAACTGTGGAAAATGATTTTTCTTAATAATCGTTATCTTAGAGACTAAGAGCTTCTCCCGTCCCCCTTTCTTCTGAAGTTTGGTTTCTTCTTCAGAAGGATATTAAGATCTAATCTCAAGGGTTTATTCCTGCTCATTGTGTTGCCCAGACAGATCTGGGAAAATGTTGATTCTTCCTGTTGTCAGGATGGGTGATATGGAAATTGATATCTTTTTAACCAAGATTAAGTGACCCAAGTCATGTACCCCAAGATCCTCATTTTAATATGGCTCCCAGTGTATTGACCAATCAGAGTTGATTGGCATCCCTTGGAAACACTCTTCAAAGGGCATATAACTCTGTACCCCCAACCCCCAAATTGAACCAGTTCTGGACTGACTCCCTTTGGGGGCCCCAGTTCTGGACTGCAACTCCCATGTAATGCATGTTGCCCACTTTGAGAGAAATTAAAAACATGGACCCAATCTAATTTTGTTTGTTTTTCTTAGATCAAACTCTGTGAGTCTGACAGAACAGACAAAGATGACCAAAAGGGTCCTTTCCAACTCTAAATCCTGTCACTCAAGTAAGATTTGGGGGTCTTTTTAATTAAAATACCATATGTTTCATAGCAGATATAAAAGAAGGTTGAGACCATTCAGTGAGTCCTGAGTTCTCTTAGGCCCTAAGACTTAGGCAATAGGATCTAAGTATTACTAACACTGCCATTGCCCAGTAATGCCATAGAATCTCTATGTTAGGACGATATTATAAAGACAAAAAAAAAATAGAATGGCTTTAATTAGGTGAGTTTTGAGACAATCTTTTGATCTAATATTGAGGTTGAAACTATTATTAATACTGAGATATCTTGCTAGCTCTATTCTCCTATTAAGTTTTTCATCGTCACTGCCATTTAAAAATTTCAGTGATATGGAAAAACTGGGGACAAGGTAGGTGGCTCAATGATTGGAGAACAGCTGAAAAAATTCATAGTCTATGTATTATACTATAAGAAGTGATGAATTAGTACAGTGAAAATGACTCCAATAATGTCTAATGGTAGTGTAATGAGATTCATTACGATGACTAATCTTGGCTCTGAAGAACAGATGATGAAACATATTTCCTTCCTCTTTGTAGAAAGGTAAGGGCTGTAAGTATGTAATGTTGCATATGATATCAGTCATGGTCATTTTGTTCATAGATTTTGCCTAAATGTTTTTCTTTCTTACAAGAGAGGGGCTTGTGGGAGGAAGAGAAATGATTGTAGTGTAAAAATTAAAAGGTATTAAATTAAACTTAACAGAAAGCAAATAAAAATTCAGTGTACACACCAAATACAGGGCAAATGTTTGTGCCAAATCAGTTCAGTATTATTTTCCTTTGTAATATCAAAAGCCTTGTTCTAGTTTCTTAGCTTATGTAACATCACCCAATCATTGAGGCCTCTTAAAATTAAAGTGACTGTGTCTAGGGGAGAAAATTCCCTAAGAACATAGGGCTTGCTTTTTTTTTAAATTTGAAGTTATATCAAAATACATCTTTTCCAAAGATTTTTTTATTTAGATGAATTTACCTTTAACCTTTCTAGCTTGTCAAAGCTCACATTTTGGGACCTGGGAGTTAATTTGAATAATGCTTTGATCAGCACCGATACCAAGAGGAGAATTTCTCACAACCACAAAAGCTTCAGATGCTGTGAAATGATTTACAGTTGAGAACTGAACTGTATCCCACTAAAACTAATTTCAGGAGAGGATGAAAACTTTCCTTTTTGGAGGGGGAGATGGAAAGAGCTGTGGAAATAGGGGATTATTAGCCCTTTTCCCAGGGTGGAGCAATAGTTAGCTTGGCTGTGGCTATGTGTGTTTTGTGGTTTGTCCTTTGTTCTCGAAGAGGACCATGACATCAGGAAGATGATGCCATGACTTGCAAGTGAATTGAATTACAGTGAAGGAGGACTGTTCAGTCACCAGCCTCACTTTCTCCTGTAGAGTCATCTGGGTCCAGTGGCCAGATATAGATCAGGATGACTGGAGATGGCCCAGGATGCAGTGGGAGACCTTAGCCCTTTTAAGCTAAGGTCTTCCTGAGTTCTCTCTTTGAGGCAATGCCCATTCAGCGATTAGGGCTGTTTCAGAATGAGCCAAGGGACAGCCCCTTTAATTAAAAAAAAAAAAGAATCAAACCAGGAGGGCAAGACCCTTAGGGTTTCTGGCCAAAAGAAGAACAATTATTATTTACATTCATTGTGAGCCATTAGGGCCCAAAAAATGACCATTAAGTGGTGCCTGGGCACGGACCTATTGTTGTCCAATCAGTGACAGCCAGAGTGAATTGGGTTTAAGGCATGGTGTTTAAGAAAGAAATCTAGCCAGGAAATCCCAAGATATCAAGGTAGGTATCAGCCATCAAAATTTGCCTTCCTTTGGGCAGAACAACCTTAGGTAAGGGCATGATACCCCATGAGGAGCGAAGGGGAGGGGAGGAGAGGCGAGGCCAGTTGGGTACCCAGTGGGCAGCTCTGTCTACTCACAGGTTATGGTTTGTCCTTCATTCTTAAAGAGGACCATTGCATCAGGAAAATGTCAGGGTATCAGGAAATATCGGAGATGCATATTCCCTTTTAGACTAACATTCAAGATCAATGATGTGTGTCCTGCAATATTTTTTGTATGACCTGTTGGTGGCCTTTGGAGCACAGATGTTTACTAATCCCCATGATATTCTAGCTTTTTCTGGTCTAACCCCCATCTTCTTCATGGGAGGAGGACTGCAGCATGTAGCTGATTAGGGACAATTAAAAGTGAGTGCTCTCCTGGGGGAAAGGGAAAATATCTGAATAGAAAACAGAACTGTGTTGTCTAGCCAGAGTTCATGGGGTCAATAAATCTGAAGAGCTAGGCCGGAGGTCAGAAATGTCTAAGACTGAGGTCAGATGAGCATGAAGAAATTCTGGGAAAGCCTAACTAGGAAGTGAGGACTTAAAGTTGGTCTTACAAAACTTTGATATGACTGAGACAGAATTCTTTTTGGTATCCTTGTGGCTCACACAGTCTTTTTAAATCAATGAACAAGTATTTATTAAATGCTTATTATGTGCAAGGCAATGTACTAGGCATTGGAGATGCAAAGACAAAAATGCAAAAGCTCCTGCCCTCAAGGAGTTTATACGAGGTGGGGACAACAGATGATCTTGAGCATGTGTAAGAGTGAATACAAAATATATATTTTGTATATATATTGGGGGACTTGAGGATCAGGGAAATAACCAAGCAGTAGGCAGTGTTTGAGCTTTTTTCTGATTTTCCCAAGGGGGGCCATCTCCAGTCGTCCTGATCTATATCTTGCCACTGGACCCAGATGGCTCCAGAGGAGAAAGTGAGGCTGGTGACTTTGCACAGCCCTCCTCCCTTAAATCCAATTCACTTGCAAGTCATGGCATCACCTTCCTGATTTTATGGTCCCTTTTGAGACCAAAGGACAAATCACAACAATTTCCCTATACTCCTGTCTAGTTTTCTCCTCCCAGCCTTTTCCATTTTCTTCCTGCTTTTGCTGTCCAAACAATCAGGAATGGGGTATCAGCCATCAAACATTCACATTTCAACATATTTTTGACCATTCATCCCAATGGGAAGTCTCTAGACATTTCTGTAGTTCCTTACTACAATAAATGAAGTAATTTTCTTCCTTTGAAAAGTGAGTGTTGTCTAGGGACAAGACATTTGACCTAACATTTTATTGAGGAAAGAATTCAGGTTTCTGGACTACAAGTATAATGTGAGGACTGGCCAATGAGCGCACTGTTTTCAGGGGCAGGGGACTGTCAGTTGTCAAGTCACACAGAGAGTTTGGGACATTTGTTTCTGAAGTGTACAATGGATAGGCCCTGCTCCCCAGTTCATGGCATAAGATGGTAGCCTGTGATTGTTTCCTGTTCGTTTAATGAGTGGTGAAGAAAAGCCTTTTGATTGGTTGCTAGGCCAGAGCTGAGTATGCATACAAAAGGTGCTAACTGGCCAAACTGAGCTCTCTCCCTCCTGGTAAAAGGCATGTGAGTCCTTGACTATGTGACTAGTGATCATGTGGCATTCTTTTTTTTTTTCTTTTTGTGTTGTTATTGTTATTGAGTTGTTTTCAGTCTGATTCTTCATGACCCCATTTGGGGTTTTCTTGTCAAAGATCCTGGAATTGCCATTTCTTTCCCAAGTTCATTTTATAGATAAAGGAAACTGAGGCAAATGGGTTAGGTGACTTGCTCAGGGTCACACAGCCAGTAAGTGTCTGAGGCCGGATTGGAACTCAGGAAGATGAGTCTTCCTGTCTCCAGGTCCATCACTCTATCCACTGCACCACCTAGCTGCCCTGCCTGGTGTGTAGTATTCTCTTAATACATGTTTATTGGTTGATTGATGATTGATTGATCTTATGTGAAAGAGTGTTGGGAATAGAAATGGAGTGGCCTATGAGTTTAGAAGAGCCACTGGAGACTGGAGCTCAGAGCAGTTGGCCAGCAGCTGAGCCTGGTAAAGAATGAAACCCTGAGGAGCCACCTGGGGGAACTAGCCTATTCTTATGGTTCAGCCATTTTCAGCCACGTTGATCCCATTTGGAGGTTTCTTGGCAAAGACACTGGAGTGATTTGCCATTTCCTTCTCCAGCACATTTTACAGATGAGGAAACTGAGGCAAACAGGTTTAAGTAACTTAAGTAACAGGGTCACACAGCTAGTGTGTGTCTGAGGCCAGATTTGAACTCAGGAAGATGAGTCTTCCTGACTCCAAGTCCAGCGATCTGTCTATTGTGCCACCTAGCTGGCCTGTGTCGGATCAACCCAGTAGCCTGAGGGGAGTGGGCTCCAACTTAAAGCGACTCTGTCCCACTAAGTTTCTGGTATTGCCCAGCTGCAGGATGTAGAATCCTGGTTCCTGAGTTGAACTGCTATTAGACTGGACCCCTGGTGAGATCCCTTACTAGGCTTGGCTACAGGCAATCTTTCATCTGGACTCCAGCCCTTTTGAAGCTTACTAGGTCATAGCCTCTAGGTCGTCCCATCTCCAGCACTCTTTCATCTACGAGCAGAAAGAACTCTCCCAACTGATAAGCTTACAGTATGTCTTCTCTTGATGTACCCCAGGAAAGGAAGAGCTTCACTTGCCCAGTTAGTACCTTTTGTAGGTGCATTCGGTTCTGGCTCAGCAGCTCATAAGAGGCTTTTCTTCGTCACTCAATAAATGGACAGGAAACAGTCACAGAACACCTGTACCTACTCTGAATTAGGGAGCAGGGCCTGTCAATGAAACAGCCTTACACAGCTCTAGAAGTAGGCTTACCAAACCTCAGGAGGGATTGGCAGGAGGCAGAGTCCCTAGCTGCCTTCAAGGCGGTCCCCAGGCCAGTCCCCCAATACATTAGATAAACAGCTTCATGATTCCATAAAGAACAAAAGTGCTTGTCGATTTCCCAATAACTCCACAGTGTGTTTTGGGTTTTTTAGAGTTTCATTTTGGGACTTGCCTCACACAAAACTGCTTACCATTTTCAGCTTTATGGTGCTGAGCAATTGGTTTATATGCAAGAGTTGTTCTTTTTCAGATTTCATGAGCTGATTTTCTGTCCACTTCTGTTGGTTCTGAACTTGTTCACGGAGTTCATTTTTAAGTGCATTTAATCTGAAGGTAAAAAGGGTATTTTTTTTATTAATGACGTTAAAAATAGAAAGTTAACAAAACTGATGTTTTACTCTGCTGAAAAAGTCTGCTGTCATTTCAGCTTGAGTGTAGTCTTTAAATGACAGTTATTGAGAAGAACATTTTACCAATCACTGTGGGGAGTTACAAAGGAAGAGGTGACCTTGTCCCTGTCATCAAGTGGCTTATAGTTCAGTGGTTAGATAGTTTCCCCCCCTCAAGCTGTTCCCTCACCTTAACTCCAGTACACACAACTCAACAAAAATAGCTGATATGATAGAATATTAATGATCATTAATCTATTAATTAATATACGATATATTTATATAAGTTTATAACAAATATAATACAATAATACAAATATATAATAATTCATGTATTTATTACATATTAGACAATTGATTAATAACATAATATAATTAATAACAAACATTATAAAAATATAATGAACAAATATAACAATAGTTAATAATAGCTGATTATCATAGAAATAAACAGCTATAAATAAATTATAATAGACATAAATAAATAAATTATAACTGATGTTCATATTGGACTTTAAGGTTTGCAAACAGCTTTACACATGTTCTCTCATTCAATCCTCATATCAACCTGAGGAGGTATGGAATATTACACTTATTTGATAGATAAGGAGGCATAGACAGATTAAGTGATTGACTGAGTGTCAATATAGCACCAGAAATCAATGAAAAAAAAATGGTTATAAAAGAGTTGCAAAGGATAAAAATATGGTAAAGAATATTTTTAAATATTGGAGTGACTAGAATCATGAGAGATTAATTTGGAAAGGCATTATGGAAAAGATGAAAGACCTGGGTAAGATTTTGAAGAGCTAAAAGTAATAATTTCGTAGGGAGAACCAGGTTATCATGCTAAAATGAGAAAATGGTACATGGAATGGCTCAGAAAGGGGGAGGCAGGGAAAGAAAAGGATACTGAATCATCTGTGGGGGTTGCTGAGTAGGTTTTCTTGGACTTATCTACCAACAACTAGCTAACAACAAATAATTTTTAAAATTCTATTTTAGGGTGGGAAAATGCTATTTTATTGGTAGGCAAATCACATCATGTTTTGTTACTGAAAATATTCTTACTATATTTCATAAAGTGCTAGGGGTGGTTCTCAAAAGAATATGCCAAAGCAATAATATAAAAGCTAAATTATGTGGAGTACAAAGTTCAAATTGTGAGCTTTGACTTTATAGAAATTGTCGTTTTGATTTGCTTAGGACATTCTCAGCATGTTTAGAAAACACATTTTCACTGTTATTACTAATATTTATAATAGCTACTTCTTTAGTGTTTTAAAGTTTGCAAAGTGCTTTACTTATATTACTTCACTTGATTCTCATAGCAGAATTTATAGATAGGGAAACTGAGGCTGAGACAATAAACCCGCTGCATCTCTCGACTCCAAGCACAGCCCTCTTTCCACCATGTATTTGAGGAGGAAGCCTGACTCTGGAGGCAGAGGACCTGGGTTTGAATGATGCCTCTAACATTTACTACTTTTACCTTAGGCAAATTTGCTAACTTTCTAAGGCCCCAGTTTCCTCATCTATAAAATTACTTCTCTGAGCCTCAATTTCCACATCTGGAAAATAAGGATGGTTGGACTCATTGTTCTCTGAGAGCCCTTCCAGCTCTAGGTCTGTGATCTATGACTTAGGTGATTTCTGGGATTACTAACACTCTGTGACTCTTCTTGGGAGTATTTAACAAATTATTTTTCTGGAAAAGTAAAAAAAATTGTCAATTACTGAGATTCTAGAGTAAAAATGGATCAATAAAGAAAGTTATCATTTTTTTACTGTAAAGTTTTGCCTGTGGCTGAAGACTTATTTTCTCTGCAGCCAAACAGAAGTTAGATAATATCAGCTCATGTTGTATTAAAAAAAGAAAAAAATTCTGAAACATCTTTCTTTAAAAAAAAAAAGGATAAAATAACAAATCTTAAAGTGGGAGCATTTGTGTCCTTGTTTGTTTTTTTTTTCTGGGGGCGGGGCATAGTTCGTTGGATCAAAGCCTGTTTTTTGAGTCAGAGGACTTGGGTTTAAATCCTGTCTCTGATGATTATTACCTCTGTGACCTTTGGCAAGCCTTTCTAGAAAGAGAAAATTGGACTAGTCATTCCTTAAAGTCCCTTCCCGCTGTAGATGTGTGGTACTATTACTTCAGCATGCTGAACATGACTCATTATCCAAGAAAAATGGGTTTTCTATTCAGTGAAATTCTAATGAAGTGTATACAATAATTTTTAGATGTTTAGTCCCTTAGTGATAAGATGTTTCTATTAGAGTCAATCTATACATTTATATGTTCTCCATCTATGTATATATACACATATTACACATACACACATACATACATACATATTAATTTTTACTAAAGTAAAAATTTCAAGTGATAGCCATCCTTTGGGAGAAGAGGTATTCTCTTCTTTCCACAAGTTCCATACATCACTCTTTTCCCCTTCCCTCTTAGAAGAGGACCAGATTTCCTTCTTTAAGAAAAATCAAGGCTATCTATTGTGAGATTCCTCCTCCTTTCTCCTCTTCCCAAAAAACTGTTACTTTGTCCTCCCCACTACCCCTTAATTCCCTTCTCCTTTGTTCCAGCAGTCTCTTCTAGCCAAGTGCAACCTATCTACTTTCTGACCTTTGATCTTGATCTCTTCTTGTTTCCTCTGGGAACTTGTCTCTTTAATCAGCACTGCTTCCTCGGTTTTGTACTGGCTTCTAATTGGTTGGTTGGTTGTTGTCCTTCATTTCCGGAGGACCAAAATGACATCACTACGCTAGAATCAAGTTACAGTGTGTCTGACTGTGGCTGATCAGACCAATACAAGTTAGGAGTGCTCTACCATAGGTCAGGCACAAATACTCCATGTGAACATTTGGGGTGGATTCTCTAAATTCGCGCATTTCACATTTCTTTTGAACTACTTCAATTCTGCCTTGCTCATAGGGCACAGCACCTTCTCTGATGCTGGGTGGTCCTAGGCCAGTGTCTTCCATGTCACACAATTAGTTCCAAAGTTCTTTAGAGGAACCTTGAGAGTGTCCTTATATCGCTTCCTCTGCCCTCTGTGTGAGCATTTACCTTGTGTGAGTGCTCTGTAAAACAGTCTTTTAGGTAAGCCACATTCGGCATTTGAACAATGTGGCCAGCCCATTGGAGTTGCATTCTTTGCAAGAGTTTGAATGCTTGGCAGTTTAGTTTGAGAAAGGATCTCAGTGTTTGGTATCCTATCCTGCCAGGTGATCTTCAGAATCTTCCTAAGACAATTCAAATGGAAGTGATTCAGTTTCTCATCAGGTACTAAATGTTTCCTGAATTGAATTAGATTGACCATGTGGTCCTAATCCTACCCACTACAGCATGTTTATGTAGATGAAATCAGGTTAAAACAAACATCAAGGGCACGCTTGTATCAGAAATAAGTGTAACATGAATACTAAAAAGTATTTGTGGAAGGTGGAGAGAGAGGTTTTAATTAATGAGAAGTTTTAATAAATTTGCTTTAATAATAATGATAGGCTTTCTATATTGATTGCATGCATCTCATATTATTTTTAGGACTAGCTGATTATTTCTCCTCCACTGGCTGTTGGTCTTCTCAAGTCACTGTGTAGCACTTGTGGGGAGGGATGGAAGGCAGAAAGGGAGTGCCTGGAACAATAACACTCCAGCATGATGCTGGTTATGGCTATGGGACTCCACTGGTAGAATGGGAGACTGTAACTACCAGTGTATAGTTTGTGAGCATCTAGAAAAAGGAAGCAGTGAGGCCACTAATAGTCAGTCTGCCTTTATCAATAGCAGGTCATGGACCCATATTTACAGCCCTTTTTATAATAACAAAGAACTGGAAACTCTTAGGGGATGGCTAAACAAATTGTGGCCTATGATTGTAATGGAACATTATTGTACCACAACAAATGATGGATATAACAGAATTAGAGAAATATGGGAAGAAATGCATGAACTGATGCAGGGTGAAATGAGCAGAACCAAAAGAACAATTTATTCAATGACCACAACTATAAGATAAAGTAAAGCCATTTAAAAAAACTTCAGAATTCTGGTTAAAGCAGTATCCAATAATGACTTCAAAAGACTGATGACGAAATCTATCTTCCCCTCTTGACAGAAAGGTAATGGGATAGAGATGCACAATGAAATATACATTCTCAGATGGGGCTAATGTGTTGATTTGTTTTTACTGGAATATACATATTTATCAGCAAGGTGGTCTTCCAGTGGTGGTGTGGGTGATAAGTAAATGGGTAGTTGATAGATAGATGAGAGTATCAATAAAACATATCAAAAGCTATAGGAGAAAAAAGTGCAGAAGTCATAAACAAATGAAGCAGTTTAGTAACTATCTTGTTAAATCTAATCTATATAGATAAACCAGAAGTTCATAGTTTCTTATACTATTTTTGCTGTTATTCATGAATAATGAAATGTTTGTTAAATTTCAAATAAAAAAAGAAAATTTATGTAAAAAAAGAACAGATTATGCTAGACCAACTTTCATTTCTTTTTTTAGATATGGCACATTAATTAGATCAGGAGAATACTATAGATATAACATACCTAGATTCCATCTAAACATTGTATAAAGTGTCTCTTGTTTTCACATAAGATGGAGACGTGGAGGCTAAAGAATGATAAATGGATTCAGGACTAGGTGAAGGACTGAATTCCCTGAAGAATAATTAATTTTGTTCAAGAATTTGCAAGAATATAGTGGAGTTCACTGAGGAGCTGTCCTTGGTGGCATGATCTTTTGTATTTTAATTAATGACTTAGACAAAGCTGTGGAAGGCCTACTTGTCAGACACAAAGCTGGATGGAGTAGCTAACACACTGAAGACTGGGTCAAGATCCAAAAAGACTTCAATGATAGAGAACTTTGGGCCAAATCTAATAAGATGAAACTTGTTAGGGGAAAA